TCTGTTCTTTAAAGCCACAAACACACATACAAAGGCCAGTTCTGACTCCAAACCACTGTGCTACACTGCCTCCAATGCACTTTTAATAAATGTAAACTAAGTAAAAACCAAAAGAACGAAACCCGTTGCCGTCGAGTCAATTCTGACTCATAGCGACCCTATAGGACAGAGTAGAACTGCCCCATAAGGTCTCCAAGGAGCGCCTGGTGGATGTGAACTGTCGACCTTTTGGTTAGCGGCGGTCGTTCTTAACCACTATGCCACCAGGGTTTCCAAACTAAAAAAAAAAAAAAAAACCAACCCCCTTGCCGTCAAGTCAATTCCGACTCATAGCAACCCTAAGTAAACAGCAATTAAATGAAATCAGTCACTAAATTTCCCTCTAAGCCAGGAAAAGAGCCAGCCAGCCTCTACTGACTGCTTCTTCAGTGCCAAGAACTGTTATCAATAACACCTGTCATCAGACTTAGCCTCCCACGAAACCCAGAAGGCACACACGTATTCTATGCTTAGAGCTGAAGAAACCCAAGCACAGAGTTTAAATAACAAACAAAATCACAAAGCTCTAAGCTATGTTCTGGCCTCAAAATCTTGATGCCTCCTTTTACAAACAAAGATAAAGCTGATTTTCAGAAAACATTCCTGGGTACATAGGGTGATCTTTTTTTTACAGGAGTTAAAGTAACAGGCCCCTGGAAGAGAAGACTTAAACATAAAGTCAAACCCTTTACGTGTACAATACCGATTGTACAAACTTCATAGAAACAAACTCCGGTAGTAGACACTCAACGGTCTCCATCTCAGCTTCCAAAAAACCATGCCCCACCAGCCTGCAGAGCGCAAGTGGGGGAAGCAGGCTCTGGACTTAAAGTAAGGTTTGTACATTTCAATGAGCCGTTATGATTCATGCAGTAGCTTCCCAGCCCCACACACAAATCACACCAGATCACGCCTTAGAGAAACAGCTTCCTCCAGACCAGAGCTCTTTACTTTCCACAAAACAATCTGTCTTTCAGACTCTGCTCTGGCATTTTTGCTTGCGGGCACTTACAGTTGCCCCAGGAACAACGATCCTGAATTTGAATCCTTAGTGGAATTGTTAGTCAGCCCCAATCAATCAGCATTACCCAGAAAGCACACTTGGAGAAGTGACCCAAGAGGTCTGGCCCAGTTGCCTAATCCCCTCAACGAGGGTTCCTTTTAAGGGAGTGCACTGCAAGTCCAATGGGGTTCATTGCACAGATGGAGAAAGGCGCATTCCATGGCTATGTAAAAATAACTTTAAATCAAAATAAAAATTTGTACATATGAAAAGTCAGTCCACAGCCAAAGGAAAGCGCATAAGGTCACCACAGATATATTACATTCAGGGAACTGCCTAACTGACAGGAGGAACAGGAGAAGATAAACACACACACTAGCTCAGAGAATAAGAATTCGACAGTCAGACACTGTTTCAATGTCTTCAGTTGTGCTAAAACTCAGACACACACACCACAATTAAACTCATGTAAGTGAAGCATAATACACAGCTGTGTTCAAACCCAACCGTGAATGCCTGCGAAACCTAGCCACACTTTCCAGTCACCACAAAATATCCCCTCAGGCTGGAAGAAGCATCACCCCTACAATTTAAAATGCTTTCTTCTGCCCATTAAAAAAGAAGAAAAAGAAGCCTGAGGTTCAAGTTAACAGATTCTATGCAGTGAACGGCCTGTTCCACTTACCGCCTCATCCCAGACCTACTGGGATACATAATCATTTTGGCCATAAACCAAAACCAAACTGGTTACTGTCGAGTCAATTCCTACTCACAGCAACCCTACAGGACAGGACAGAACTGCCCCATAGGGTTTCCAAGGTTCAATCTTTGTGGAAGCAGACTGCCACATCTTTATCCTGCGGAGCAGCTGGTGGATTCGAACAACCAACCTTTTGGTTAGCAGCAGAACACTTAACCAGCAAGCCACCAGGGCTCCTGCATTTTGGCCACAGAAAGGTGAAATGTTTTTTAGACTAATGGCAAATAAAATTTCACTTAAGAGTCTTGAAATAAGACCCTATTAGCTTGTCAGGATGATATGACTCGTAAATGTTACTAACTGTGATAAAAAGAGAGCATTACCAATGATGATTAATAATAGTGATGACTCTGTTGGGCACTGTGTGCTGTGTCCAGTACTTCACATGCACTGTCTCACTTAATCCTCACACCAACTCTGTGAAATAGATACGATTATTACATTATCCTCCCCAGCAGATGCCCAGAGAGGTCAGTGACTTGCCTGTAGTCACACAGCTTGGAAGTGGCCAAGTCCAGCTTGGACTATATGATGCCAAAGCCTGAAAGCCCTTGACCACCACATTATAAATGTTCCATTTGCTTAAGAGTTGACAGTTCACTAAAACCATTCCCAAAGCCCACTCTTCAGAAAAAGATTAGACTAGACTATAAAACATAAAATAATACTTATAAAGAGTGTGCTTTACAGGCAGATAAACGAGACTAAATGGGCAGCTCCTGTCTGGAGGCAGGATGAGAAGGCAAAAAGGGGCAGGAGCTGGCTGGATGGACATGGGAAACCCAGGTGAAAAGGGGGAGTGTGCTGTCACTTTACAGGGATTGCAACTAGAGTCACATAACAATATGTGTATAAATTTTTGTATGAGCAATTAACTTGAGCTGTAAACTTTCACCTAAAGCACAATTAAAAAAAAAAAAAGAGCTGACAGTTCACAAAAGTGTTTTCTACTGTGCTGGACAACCACCCCAAAATAAACCAACCATAATATTAACAGGTGAGGGAAACTACCATAGCCACAACCTCGGCTATTCAAGCTACCTCCATTCCTTCAGAAACGAGTCACACACGACCAGGGCAACAGGATTTGCAGTGTGACCTTGGCGAGGTGAGCTGCCTGGCTAAGGTTATTGTGGCTTTCGTGTTACGTTTCCTTGTTCTAAGAGCACTACACCCTGAAGAACAAATTACTGCTGAGTAATTTAACTTGACCTATGTGACCTAATCAAGCGGAGGTGGTCAGTGTTCAGCATGAGTGTAAGGTACTCTGGTATGAAGGCATCTTTGCTCAAAAGAAACGAAAGATGCTGCTAGAATTTGCCTTTCCCTTTAAATAGGAATTTCCAGGTTCTCAGGTACAGGAAACAGGTGAAGCGATCCCTAACAGCCTCAAAGTCAGAATCAACCTGACTCTTTCCACAATCTTCCCTCTACAAGGCAGTTTGTTTCTATTCATGCTCCACCAGTATAGCTACAGTACTCTGTTCTTACTGAAAAAGAAGTCCCACAAAGCAAAACAGTTTGTGGGCGATATTACACATTAGAAAAATATACCTATCATTTTATTATTAAACGAGAAACATGTCCCTGCTGACAATCAACAAAAGGTCTCCCGGCAACAGAAAAGCAGAGAAACTAGGCAAAGATTTTCTTTCTTTGGAGACGTGAAACTCTCATTCAGTCAAGAAAGATGGATTTTGTCACTTATTATTCTCCAAAATGTCAAGTGTCACACAGACACCATAAACGAGGTAAACTGCATCTCAGAGCAAAGTTCTATGTGCCAAGTTACAAAGCCCGTGAATACAAGGGGTGTATTAATGGAAAGACTGATACGCTCCTACTACAGTGGCCTCTCTGTGGCTCAGGACAATGATCTGTTGAGGGCTTTCCAGTGATTTTGAATGTGCAACCTCCATACAAGCCCCTCTGTAAGGGGGCTGGCTCAGTCCTGAACAATCCTCTCAGGAAAGAAAAAAGCCAAAAGCCCCCACACGGGCTTCTGGGTGAGAGGTTTGGCACTGTAGGCGTGGGAAGGCTCAGACTTGAGAGACAAAGGACGAAGACTGGTGCGCAGGCCGGGAGATCTGGGATAAGCCTGGGTCCACCTGGTTAGAGGCGGCCCAGACCCACAGATGGGATTTTCACAGAAGAGTTGAAAAGCATTGGGAGCGAGGGAGAGAAGGAAGCGTACGTTGCAAATGTGCAAGGGTGAAGTCAATCGCACCTGAGAGCCAACCACACGTGAAGAAACAGGGGTGGCGCATGCCTTCCAGCAAAGAGCTGGGAGTGGGCCCTCAGCCCCCGAGTCTCCATTTTATCCTGGTGCAGAAACCCTCCTTAGCCCCACTGGGGTAGGACACTGTGGGGCAAAGCCAGCAGTGCTCTAACATCCAGATCCTCTTCTTCCAAAGAGAGGGTTAATTCTTATGGAAAAAGGGATCCTGCTGTCACCCTGAGGCCCAAACACAAGAATCCCTCGGACGACCACCCCCCAGTAAGTCAGACCCGGGAGGGGTCCCTCTGACACTTCTGAGCCCCTCAAACAGATCCTTCAAAACTTCAAAACCTTCGCTATGTCCCTGGCTTCGCCTCCCAACTTCAGAGACCCCTGCTCAACTCTAAAGGCCGTCTCAGGACAGCCCCCCACTCAGATACAGACCCGCAGGCCCCAAGCCCTATACTGCAACCCTCAATCCTCTCCTAATACTCACAACCAGCTAGACCCTTCAAAATTCATTCTCAAACCCCAATAACTGCCTCGGTCCTCCTGTTCCTCTCACCAACCACCCCCTCAAAGCCCCCCAATCCCTGCCTCAGACCCAGCCGTCGACCCCCTCAGTCCGGTCTCAGACCCAACTACAGTCCCCTCCGCCCCTGCCGAGCCAAAACTCAGATCCCCCAATTCCCTCCTCGCCCCCCCAGTCATAGCCATAGACAGCCCTTTATGTCTCTAATCTCCCCTTCTAGGCTCTGTAACCCCTGCTTCGGAAACAGCCCTAGTCCTTAGAACCTCAACTTCGCCTCAGGATCCCCAAGCCCCGTCTCAGGACCCCAGTCGCGGTCCCTTCAGTCCCCCAAACCCCGTCTCAAGACCCTCATCTCCCGCCCCAGTTCTCTCGACACAACTTGGGGCCGAGGCCCCGGCCCGCGAATCCCACTGGAGGCCCGGCCGCCGCGAGCCGCCGCTCGGCTCACCTCCTCCATCTTCTGCACCATCTCCGCTAGCTGCCCCTCGTCCTCCAGCAGCTCGTTGAGCTGCCTCAGCGACAGCCCAGCGAAGCGGGCCTCGCCCCCGGCGCCCGCCATCCCCGCGCCTCGGCCACCGCCGCCGTTCTGGCAGCTAGACTCCGCCGACCGGAAGCACCGCCCTCAAGTCCCCCCCCCCGGCGGGGGGGGGCACGTGACGCCAGCACTGGTGCGTGACGTCATCGGCGAGCGGGTCGGCGGACGTGACGTAGCGGCGGGGACGAGGCGTGGCTTCGGAGGTGGGAGGCTCTGGGGCGGTGGGGGAGTTCTAAGCGGGGGGAAAGAAGGGGACCTGGGACGGACCTCGGACCCAGTGAGCGGCGGGAATGGTGTCACTACAGCACAGGAGAGTGCGCCATGATGTCATGAGAGCCTCTTTCCTCCTGGAAAAAGAATACCGAAATCCAAAAAAAGTAGGCAGTGGGAAGGAAGTTACTGCAGCCTGCCTAAGCCCAGCTGGACCCGGAGAACCCCAAAGAAGGGGGCTTCATGGCGAAACAACTGTGGATGACATTCCATTCCTCAGAGTTGTGGAGATGCCAAGTCGTTCATTTAATAAAGTGGTGCAATGGTTAAGGCACTCAGCGACAATATATGTACTAGGCATTGAGTATACAGGTCTAAATAAAACAGGAAGGACCCCTACCTACATGGAGCTTACAGACTGACAGGGAAAGCAAGCAAACAAACAAACAAACAAAAAACAACAAAGAAACGGTTAAAACTTAATGCAATGAAGGAAGAAACCAAAAAAAAAAAAAAACCCGTTGCCATCGAGTTGACTCCAACTCATAGCCACCCTACAGGACAGAGTACAATTGCCCCATAGGGTTTCCAAGGAGCGCCTGGTGGATTACCAACTGCCAACCTTTTGGTTAGCAGCTGTTAGCTCTCAACCACTACACCACCAGGGTTTCCAATGAAGGAAGAGGATGCTGAAATAAGAGAATAATAAGAAGACTATTTTAGAGAAAGTGGTACAGGATGGCCCTCTGAGAGAAGGTGACATCTAAGATGAGACCTAAAGGATGGGAAGGGAGGAACCAGCCACCATGCCTGTAGGAAGCCGGAGGCAATGAGACTAACATGTGCAAAAAGCCCTGAGACAAAACTGGCTTGGTACACTCAAGGAAGGGGCAGAAAATCAGTATGTCTAGAGCAATATGAGCCAAGGCCATGGCAACCTCAGAGGAAGCATCTAGACATGCAGGGTGGCATGGGCCAAGCTGTGCAATTGCTCAGTTTCCCAGTTATGTGGAAGCCCCTTGAGATCAGGAGTCTGGGAACTCATTATCCTGCTGTGGAATCTGCCACAGTTCTAATTGGAAGAAACCTAAAGCTGAGCTAACCACTATAGCCCCCGATGTTACACATAGACGAACTGAGGTCCTGGCAGGAGGAAGTAATTTTTTTCCCCCCAAAATCAAATAATTGGCAGGTCTCCTGGTTTCCAGTCTGGTGTCCACTACGCTGGCATTATACCACACTGCCCTCATTGCCTAACTCAGCACTGAACACAGTTGAGACATTAAGTAAATGCGTGCTGGCTGACTGATGGGCTTTGTATAAGATGAAGCTTGGGCTCCCCCATAAGTTCTGAGTTATCTCCCAGTACCTTACGCTGGACTCTACTGACCTGTTTTCTCTGTCCTTCCAGCTGCTTATGACTAAGGGCACACGCTGGTAGAAAAATAAAATAAAATTAGAGGGAGAGTTTTATATTATCTGTAAGCAAAAGTACACTCAATGGTTTTCTTCCTTGTAACTTGTTTTATTTGATCATGAAAGGTGGCTTTGTGGAGGAAAGGCTGCCACTAAAACCACAATGAAATTACCGGCAGGGTAATAGCTAAGGTTTTTTTTTTTTTTTTTCCTTTTCCCTCCATGGAAAGAGTTGTTGTTAGGTGCCATCAAGTTGGTTCAATGTTCCTTTGCTATCCATAAGGTTTTTACCGGCCAGTTTTTTCAGAAGTAGATCACCAAGTCCTTCTTCCCAGTCTTAGTCCGAAAGCTCAGCTGAAACCTGTCCACTACGGGCCTGCTGGTATTTGAAATACCAGTGGTAGAGCTTCCAGCATCACAGTAACACACAAGCTACCACAGTATGCCAAACTAACAGACCGGTGGTGAAGGGAAAAAGTAAACACAAACAAAAAAAAATCACACTCATTGCCATCGAGTCAATTCTGACTCATAGTGACCCTACAGGACAGAGTACAAGTGCCCCATAGGGTTTCCACCAGGGCTCCGCCAAATTAAGAGCAGTAGCTGTATTTCCAGGAAACTTTCACCTATGAGGACCCTGGTGGTGTAGTGGTTAAGAGCTCATCTGTTAACCAGGAGGTCGGCAGTCTGAATCCACCGCCTGCTCCCTGGAAACCCTAGCGGGCAATTCTACCCTGTCCTATAGGGTCGCTATGACTCGATGGCAACAGGTTTGGTTTCTTTTTTGGTTTTTTACCTGTGAGGCTTAAGACGTTGTCCAGAAACTTCTTACAGTCCTCACAGAAGGTGAGAATAAAGTTAAGGGTCAGAGCGCTCCAGAATATAAAGGGATAAAGTGATTTAGCTAAGAACACACAGCACGAGCAAGCCTGCATCTTTCCCCGCTGACAGCTAAAGTGCTAAGTCTAATTAAACAAGGTTCACAACCCAGACTTGCCCTGTCCCTTTTATAACTCTTTTCAAGCCTGTTTTCTGCCACCAGCCTCTGGGAGTTACACGCCACTTCCTTTGTCAAACAGAGCGAACCACAGAATCATCTTGCATTCTGCTGCTCTAGAAACTTCCCCTCACTCTTAAAAGTGATTGAGAGAAGGAAAGAAAATCAGTATCAAGACTTCTTTTCCTCCGTGTCAAACTCGTCAATTTAATGCGTGGGTGGACTTGGACATTTTGTCTCTTTTTTTGGTTGGCTGATATTTGGGTTTCTCTACGCACCTATGTCTTGCCTGTAATATTTGTGGGTTAACTAAGATTTTGGTCTGGCAAATCTAGGGCAACATATGTATGTGCCAAGACTTCTTTCTCAATGGGAGCATTGTTGCTGCCTGGGCCATGAGTCTCCTGTTACGCAATATTGGGAATTGTTTGGAAAGTGTATTTCAACAAAGTATAACCTTCTCATAGTTGAACTTTCAAATCGTCTAGCCTTGGGATTAGAATTCTTTCTCTCTAATGGAAGTTAGTAGAATTATTCGTAAATGTTTTCCAGTTTGAGGAGCCCTGATAGAGAGGTGTCCCTAGCATATGCAATTCACACGTTGGCATGGGAGGAATTTATTCCCTGAGACATCAGGTGGAACCACCATGCCCCTCTCAGGGACTCACAGCCTGATGTCACCACCCTTGTCATTGTCACATACAAATATCTGAATGCCTGAAATGACCCAAGCACTGCTCATTAAGAGAGACAAATCACTTTAGATGCAGTTTCTGCCATGGAGAAAGAGGATACAAAAAATAGAGACTGGTATTTTTTAAATTATACTGAAGGTTGTGTTTTTGTTTTTTGTTTTTTTTTTTTGATGTGTTTTAAAGGTAGAGGGTGCAGGAGATCAGTTATTTTGATTTGAGGTTTATATATTTGTAAGGTTTTTTGCTTTTCTTTTTTTCCTTTTGTTTTAAAAATTCATTAAATAAACTCCATATGGGAGAAAAAAAAAGAATATAACAAATAATCACATATACCACCAGGTTAAGGAGTAAACAGCATAGACACAGTGTAAGCCCCTATGTACCCTTCCTCCTCAATCTCACTTCTTCTTTTACTCTCCAGAAAAAAACAAAAAAAAAAATAAACCAAACCTGTTGCCATCGAGTCGATTTTGACTCGTGGCGACCCTATACGACAGAGCGGAACTGCCCCATAGGGTTTCCAAGGACCAGCTGGTGGATTGGGACTCCCAGTTGGTTAGCAGCTGAGCTCTTAACCACTATGCCACCAGGGCTCAAGGATGGCTACTATTCTTTTACCCTACGTGTATATCTCCATACTTTATAAATAATGCGATCACATGTGTACATGTATCTTCTTGCTAGTTGCTTTTTTTGACCAACATTAAGTTTCTGAGACTTATCCTTGTTGGCTCATATGGGTTGAAACGTTCTTTTTTTCACAACTGTATAGGGTTCCATTCCATAAATATATGACAGCTTTTTAAAATTCTTTTTGCTTTCGCTGAGGTCATCGAGTATCCACATCTTCGACTTCACAGGATTTTGCCGGTTGCTCTCCGAAGGGGTGGCCCCAATAGTTTTGTCGTTTTTATTGTCGTTGTTGTTGCTGTTGATAATTAGGGTTCCTTACGCCAAAAACGCAGGCGAAAGATCTGGCAGTGGGCTTCCGTAAAGACGTACAGCCTTAGAAACCCTGTGAGGCAGTTCTACTCTGTCCTATGGTGTCACTGTCAGTTGGAATCGACTCAGTGGCAATGGGTTTGGGTTTTTTTATGCCAAAAGGTGCCTGGTGGCTCAACGCTTAAGCACTCAGCTGCTAACAGAAAGGTTGGCAGTGTTAACCTCTCAGCCACTCCTCAGGACAGAAAGACCTGGCAATCTGCTCCTGTAAAGATTACAGCCTAAGAAACGCCATGGGGCAGTTCTACCCTGTCCTATAGGGTCGCTATGAGTCGGAATCAACTCGACAGCAGAGAACAACAACATGCCAAAGGAGTGGTCAGCAGGACACCGGGGAGCTTTGACCGATGCGCAGTACTCCGCCTTTTTCTCACCCAGGGCAGGTCAGATGCAGGATGTCTGAGAAGTTCCAGAAACCAGCTGTTTTGTATAGAGATAACTCTTCTTGATCCCTACAATCCAAGAAGTGGGGTGTGAAGATAGTTTTGAGTGGGCAGAGAAATGAATGTCTCTGAATAGGAAGGATGTGGCTGATTTTCATGCAACAAAGACTTTCCTAGATGAAAACCCAGAATTTGAAAATGATGAACAAAAGAAGCAGGAAGTGAATAGCTGGAAGAGATCAGAAGCAGGCTCCTGTGGTAGCCAGCCTCCAAGATGGCCACCAAGGATCCCACTTCCTGACAGTCACACTCTTGAGTGGTATATTCCCACAATGTACCATGGT